TATTTGGAGAGGGGGGGGGGGGGGGGGGGGGGGGGGGAAGGAAAAAAAAATTATTCCTTACCAACCTTTGCAGGAAGGGTGGCTAGGAGACTGCTATATCCCAACCATGTGAGAAAAACAGAAACTAGCTTGTCTTTAAGCAGTCTCATAAATATTTCCTATTGTTGAGGCCTATAATTTTCCTTATGAATAATTTATCCAATTCCTGATAGTGAGAAAACTACCTATCTTGACAGATGTACAGTAATCCTTTTGAAAACTAATGAAACGCTAAGAATATAAACACATGAACACATTCAATTATAGGATAAAATTAAAGTGACCGACATTGGTTCTTTACAAGCAAAAGAAAAAAAAAAAAGGGTCAACAGAGGTTTTGATGTCCTTTGATCCCACCCAGCACAGTGGGAAAAGATCTTAAAACAAAACCAGGTACCACCATCTCAAATAACCTGCACCTTTATCCAAACTCTCTTGGTTTAGGGAAGTGCTGTCAGGCCACCGTAACTGAAGTGCTTCATAACATGATCCTCAAGTAAAGGGTTTATAACTAGGCAATGAAAACTTAGCCACACCTGAAAATAAATCTCTGAACTAAGAGATCCACTATTTCAGCCCTTAAAGGAAGCTGTAATGGCCCTGTGCCAGCACCTGGAAGACTATTCATGTAAGAAGGAGGTACCTGTAGAAAAATTGTCTATAATATGAAGATGCAATTACTTTTTTTTTATTATACAGCTACACATTATTCCTCAAATTTGACACAAATAATGCACTCTTATCTACAGCTGCACCCCACCCTTTGCTTTGGCAGAGAATTTTTAAGTTGCTGAACTTTGAAGCTGCACTTGAGCTTTAAAAATTATCAAAGCAATTAATCATGTAATTCCTATGGGCTAGAGGCTCAAATTAACCATGGTCTCATGAGTCTGAAAGGGGAACCTTATATGAGCACCTCCCAGTGTGTGCCCCAGCATAAAATGTCCAAAAAAAGTTCCTTAATCTTTGTGTTTCAAGGGAGTACAGCTCTGGATGCCAATAGAAAAAAGCACCACACTGCTTCAGCCACATGTGTGGTAAGGAAAACTCCATCAAGAAATGTTTGATACTTCTTTCAAAATGGGCCATTTTACCAGTTTCAGTAAAAAAAATTTACAGATTTTACTGCAAAATCAATGAGATTAGATACAGAGTTCTACCTATCCAAAATTAAGAAGATAAGGATGGCCATACTGGACCAGGTGGAAGTTCTGTCTGGTCCAGTATCAAGTCTCCAGCAATGACCAAAATCAGACAAGGATGGGGAAGAGGAAGAACAGGCCAAGTATATGAGATACTTTTTTCCAGCTTCTCTACCAGCCTCCAATTTTTCTGAGCTCAAGGCTTCTCCCAAACTAGACATACTTTTTTATGTGGTCAGTAATTCTTAATAGATTTATTTCTCAAGTACTTATCTGGTGTTTCCTTGAACCTGTATAAGCCTTAAGCATCCAAAACAACCTCTGCTAAGGAGTTCCACATCTCTAATACCTCTGGCGTAGAACCTTTCTCTGCAACTCTTCCAGTTCTACTATATTATTTGTGAAATGAGAGGACAAGCCTGAATACAGCACTAAAAGTGTGGACAAGATTAATACAGTGACATAATGACATTTTCTATTTTGCTCTTTCTCACTTTGTTTTTCCTGACTGCTACTGAGCTGACATTTTCATATCTCAAGAGCAATTTCCTGAGTTGTAATGGTCAGTTAAGAGCTTATCATTTTATATGTGAGGTTAGGAATAATTTTTTCATAGGTGCCTCACTTTACATTTAATTACACCAAATTTAATTTAGTAATTTATTATGCAATTACTCAACCTCTTAAGGTCCTTGTGTAATTTTTCAGCTTTCTTTCATCCTTGCTATCCTGAATAGCTTTTTTTTTAGTTATTATCAGCACGCTTACCTTACTGTTCCTGCCCTTTTCCTGATCATTTATATATGTGTATATATGTATATATTTTTATTTATATATACATACACATATTAAAATATAAAATGTAAATATACTATACATTTATACACATCTGTACACATAAAGATGTATCAAATATATTAGAGTACCACTGGTTAACCACCATTCATCCATTGCAAGAACTGACTATTTATTATACTGCCCTATTTGTTATACTACAACCATTGTCTTTTCTCCATGCAGGTACTTGCTGTTTATGCTGTAGCTGCTTAATATCCTTAAAGGGCCTTAGTAGAGGACTTTTGAAAAAGCCTTTTGGAAATCAGGTAAACCATGTCAGCTGTATTACTCTTATCCACCAAAGAAGCTGGATTTCAGGCAGTTCTAGGGATGTATCATCTACAGAAACTGTGACACCTTCTCTTGCTTTGTAGCCTGCTGGTGCATTAAATCTTTAATTATTTACTCATATTTACTTCTAATGTTATTGGGCACTCCATCCTTGGGTGGTATAATTTTTTGGGTGACCCTTGCATATCGTGACAATCTCACTGAATTTTCATCTGAAACCAAGGATGTAAAATTAATCACAGCACTTCTACTAATAGCTGACTAAAATAAAGAAGCTACTATGAACATAGTACCTTTCAGGGGAGCATTCTTCTAAGCAAAGAACCATCTAAGGCCATTTTACAATGCTATAGTGGTCACACTTTAATCCGGATATTTTAGTATTAATGGGGCTGGTAGGCTATAGTCTAGGCAGGGAGAACAGATGAGAAACAATTTCACATCATAGTGCAAAATTGCAAAGCTAAACCAGTACCATTTAAAAAGAGATTTTAACTGATTTAAAGTTGACTTCAATGAGAGCTGTATTTAGCACTGCTGAAAATAAGGGCAAATCCTCAGACTTCTAGATAAATATTTATGTATCTAATTTTAGAAATAATTTTGAAAACATTGTTTAATTTTTTGTGTGTTCCTTTAAGACTAGAGTCAATCTAGCAATAAATTTTCTGAAAGTAAGAAAGGATTCATAATTATAATAATACTTTCTAGGCTCTAACTCATACAAAATTTGAGGAAGAGAACCTCCAAAATACTTTTGTTTGAGACTCTCTGAACCATTCCATCAACGTACATTGTTATTTTATACTTCTCATGAAAACAAGTAATTATTCTTGTTTCTTCATCTTTGCCTGTTTAGCTGCTTACTGAGAGTCTTGGGACACAGACAGCATCTACTCATACCCTTACAATGTCTCAGCTGAAATCTTAGTCATCTGGCTTATTCTGCATTGGAATTGTCACACATATAAGAACAGCTAAAGCTGTACCCAGATTCTGAGGACAGTTCTTGTCAAGAAACTTTAAAGACGTGCAAAAAACTTCATCCTAAAATAACCTGCCTGTAGTCAGTCAATACTTTACATACTATCAGCTAATGGCTGGGAAAATTCTTATGTATAAGGGATGGTGTATTTTACTAAAAATAGTGTGCTATAAATCAGCACATGCTGCCATCTATATAGGTAATTTTGCTTATTAATCTAACCTCTACAATACCTATGAAAGCTAATTATTCAGATTGATTTGTTAGTGGTCTTTCTGTTCTTTCAATTTCATTGGACTTTTTTTTTTTTTATCATTTATGGATTTCACTTTACCACGTTTCTCAGTGGTACATGTTAAGCATGTAAAACAAAGAACTGATTCCCAGCAACCGGAATACCTCAAGATGTGCAGTCCACACACAAACTTAAACATTGAGAAACCTTGCACCATAAGCACATGAAGCTGTATTCTTTTTGCCTTACCAGTGCCACTGACAGCATTATGATTCCTTGTGCTGTGCTGGTACATGAGCACACAGATCAGAGCATGCCCTCTATCTTTGGTTCTCTCAATCTTCTCTCCAAATCGAGAGCACACTGGACTACAGAAAAATCTTGAAATCTACTGTCATAGCATGGGAGATTTAGGATGACTGCAGCAATAATCTATCAATAGGTTACGGTACAGAAAAAAGCAGAGTAGGTAGGAAGCAGAGGCATGTGTAGATTACACATCACAAGACTATTCTGGTTACAGTTAAGTTTTCTGACTTTGACCATCAATAAGACTTTTCAAATCCTTGGTGTTCCCAAGGGGTGCCACATGCATCCACAGTTTCCTGAAGAGAGGAAGAGCCTCGGAGGTGTCATGCCAACCAGTTCAATGGATCCTGGAAACGCAAATCCCTTGCTCAGAGGCAGATCAAAATCACGCAAGTAACAATGTCACATGTAGACAGACCACCTTACATTTGGACAATGAAACCTGGGCCTGATGTGAGAAAATAGTGTGTGTAGGATAGCAACATTTTCTCAGGGGGTAGGTCTGGAATGATCTTGATCCCAAAAAACAGCAGCGTGTCGACTGAGTTTAACTGTCCAAAGCTAAAAAGTCCCAAGCTAACCTGAAGGGAATGATTAACCTGCTTTTAATTACTCAGTCACTTGGGTAACAAAAGCAGATACTTTCACCCAAGTTGGGTTACTATGATGGCCAGGTACCTTATGAAAAACCTCTGATCTGTACAGAAGTCAAGCAACTGACTTTTGAACCGGAATGGGTCTGTTTCTACCACAAGACATACCTCCTGTTATCTATTTTGACTGAGATGTAGAACAAGGTATCCTTGAATTCAAGAGACAAAAGTCCTCTCCTCTCTGTAGAGCCTCCATCACCATCCTGAACTGAGCTTACACATGAACACATGCAGTCCTCTAAGTCCAAAATGGGGTCTTACCCTTCCTCCACATCTGCCTCTATGAAAAAACTATTCATCTTAGTATTGATTAATCCTGACTAAAGCAGCAGCAACTACCTAACACCATTATCGTTTGTAATGAGGAAGAAACTGAGTCATGTGGGCTGAGATTGAGTATCTTTGCTTGACCCAGCAAGACATGTAGGTGCAATAGGCTGTGGCCTCTCTAAGGTAGCTTCACAGATATGAGGTTGGTCTTATTTATATGTTGGGAGATGTGGCATGGTGTCATGCCAGCAACAATGTCCAAAAGGTGATGGTGTGCTTTAACTTGTGCCACACTTTCAATCAAGTTAAGAAATGTCCTAAAGTCTTCAGCAAGCCCCAATGATGCACTGTGAGCATCCAAAAAACCTGCAAGGGATCACCGATACACATTCCAGGGGACTAAGGAATACCCAAAATGTCAGTAGAAAGCTCTCACTCCAATGATGCCAAGACTAAGGCAAATAAATTAGTCTACAACATTACTGTGCAAATCTGTGACTGCGTGGCAACTTTTGCTGGTTACATGGCAAAGTGATTGCTGTTGCCAAAATGGAAAGAAAGGATGGGCAGTGGAGGATATTTTTTCCACCAGTAAAGAGGTGAAAAAGCAGGATGCTTTTGTATCTGCAGGGTGGACCTCAATCCTCCCCCAATAATTTGTGGCAAAACACGCATCTTTTCATCATGCGTCTGGGGAACCTAAAAGAAGTATTTGAGTTGGGGAATGGGTTACAGTATGTTTGGGAGCACTGTAACCCAGCTAAGCTTGTGTGGGATTCTTGCAATACAATCCACTCCTCCACCTGACAGCTGGGAGAGGAGTGTATAACTGCCTGCTGGGACACCAGCTCCTAAACACCATCTACTGCTGAGAGCACAAACTGGATGGCGACAGAATGCTTGACATCGAGGGGTAGACCAGAAAGCGGAGAAGGATTCATAATGGCCTAAGACCTCAAGGGTCTCAGAAGCCATCCAGAGAAGCAAATGCATCCAAGGGACCAGAGAGATGGTCTTAGAAAGAGAGTCTGGGCAATCATAATTCAACAGGTGACTTCTCACATCAATTGTCATAACTTCAGTCCCAAAGGCAAGTAAATGAATAAGAGAGGCAAACAGACAAGACCAAGTGAAAGGGCTATATTAGCTTGACAAAATATGTAAAGTCTTGTTTTGTTAAAGAAGGCTGAAGTCACCACAAACACTCTGCCTTATAGAGGGTGACTGAGTTTTGTCTGAAGACATAGGGTAATGTATGAGAGGGGAAAGTGATCTGAGAGGATACTATTATTGCCTTAAAAAATCCTAATACATCAAGAACCTCCAGTCACAAATGTCATGGCAGAAAATCACCTCAATGCTAAATAGGCATGTGGACGGTCACTGCAAGACGAGCATTTTACTTATTACCACACCGGCAAAATCTGTCCAGATCAAAGTTACTCCAATGGCATTTATCTGAAAACTCAGAAGTCCTGGACCCTAAATCATCTGTCATGTCACCATGTTTGTTTATTTATGCAAGACATGGAAAGCATGGTTTCAAACCAGAATTTCAGGAGATGGTATTCCATGATTTATATGATAACATTATTGTAAAGACAGTAGCAAATGTAGAATTTAGTTTGCCTGAAGCTCTCTGAAATATCAAATTCTCTTTTTTTTTTTTTAAACAGGCTTTCATACCTGCAATATGTGCAACAGGTTGCTGACAGTTGACAATATAATGCTCTTCTTTTCCAGAAGTGCTTTTATTCTGTGAAATTCTGTTTCGATTTTCCTGAGACTGGACCCTGAAACAGCTTTTTTTTTTCCTTATGCTCAGCCCTTATGGAAATTTAGGTTGCTTCATAAAGTAGTATTTTTATACTAGAATATTATAAACCCAGGCATATACTGCGGTTTATTATGAGCAACCCTGGGAAGACACAGGAAAGGACAGCTCTGGTTGGTTTATCTGAAGAAGAGAGCTCTCTATCCTCAGCACGCAGCCTCAGCACATTGCTGTCTCCTCTGGGGACACCAAATGGTGCAAGAGTTCTCCTACGTCTACAGGAGAAAGAGATCAGGCTCTCCCCTTTGCTGACTGAAACATAAACTTATCAGCTGAACCAGGATGACTGTCTGCCCTCTGAAAGAGAGTTTTTCTGCAACCAGCTAGTTTTGTCATTAAAGTGTACAATTATGTCTCAAATCCTGCTGTTAAAGCATAATGAAGAAGTTGACATTTTGCACGTAACGGTTCTTTATTTTCTTTGAAAAATCAGCCCAGGCAAAAAAAAAAAAAAAAAATCAAACAAAAAATCCACATTCCTGAGATTGCATGACTGAACAAAAGAAAACTAGGGCATTGCAAATTTATAGCTGTCTGTAAAACTTTCAGTCTGTTTCTTGCATGTGTGTGTTCTTATACAGTCATTAAATATGTAACCAAAACGTTTATCCCCCACATCTTTTGGCGTATTTAGGGTACAGAATAAACATCTGAAGGAATAAAATTAGGACTGCACAAACAACTGTAAATTTAGCATTGCTTATTCTTAAGTGTCAAATTAAAAGTTTAAATGCAGTTTTTCAGACTGCAACAATAGCTACTATGTCCTACCTTTTTCCTTAAGTATCCTTATACTTTTTCCTTCTCCTTTTTTTTAATGCTGTTGCTACCCAGGTAAAAGTATCACTTATGTGACTGAAATCTTTAAAATGACAGGCAATTATACAATGATACTGAGTAATCCTATAAATAAATACATGAATTCTCGTCTTAAAACTGCCTGAGTTTTAGTTACCATTACTTCTACTAGGAAGTTATTTCAGAAGCTCACTCCTCTGATGGCTACACAAAGCCATTTCCAATTTCCAACCCACATTTATTCATGGCGAGCTTACAAATCTTGCTCTTGGTAGAACTGCGTTGTTTATAACTTAAAATAAATCTATTTCTTTTCAGTGTTTACCCCTTGAGATGACAACAAATTTATTCCTTTTGGCATTATTTTTCTAGTCTGAGCAGGCCGACCTCTCTTATTTTCCCATTGTAAGATAAAAGCTCTGTCACTCTAATCGTTCTGTTGGTCCTTCTCTGCATTTGTTCTGCTCGAAATTCAGATTTGTACAGTGTATTCTGGATGACAAATTATACGTGTCTTCTAAGGCATTGTTAATATTCTCTAATCTCTGCTGAAAATTCTTCACCTGATACAGACTAGGACTGCACTGGTATTTTTCAATTCCCAGTTTAGAGAAAGAGCTCCTGCCTTTTTTCTAGTGAACTACTTATTTCTGACAGTCCAGTCCTCAAGATCTTCCTGTTTACTATTCTGAGACTCTTCTGTTTTAATTGTGTCTTATGACTTTACGGGTACTGTAAGTGTAATCAGCACACTTCAACTTTATGCATCAAGGTCACTATTAAAGATGTAAAATAAACCTGGTCCAAAAGACTGAACTTGAGAAAATTCCAGCCCAACAGTGAACTCTGATATTGCTTCCTCACTAGTCAGGTCTTTGGCCATCTCTCAGTTTGCATACTAAACTTCATCCTCTCTAGTTTAATTGTACTTACCCAGAATGTACTATCAGTAAAAGCACTAAAAGGTGTATTTACAAATTTTTCACTCTACATAACCGTAAGAACAGTATATATGAAATGAAAAACTGCCCTATATATCTGGAAGAACAAGACTTCACACACACTCCTTCCTCCCTGCACCCATATAACCTATCTTAGCTGACTGATCCAAAAATAGGGATAAACGTGCCAGAAGGAACCACATAAAGTTTGGTTTTACATTTACTCACCATGATGTAGATCAGAAGTAAATACATGGATGTTAAAAAAATTATACTGGTATAAAACCAGTGCATGTTAGACAAGGCATAGGTCCATAACAAATCTTAAAAATAATTACAACAATTTCTTTATTTCAACTACAGAAATAACTAGATTAGCAATGTATCTTACTTGTTCTGTCATATGACTCATGACATGTATGTGCAATTTCAGCTCCAAGCTGCAAATAATGTCCAGCTTTATCATCTCTGGAACCATCTGCTCCAAGGGCAAACATTCCCCCTGCAAAACAGGTCAAATGGCCCATCTTTCTTTCAAGGTGCCCGTTCTTCCACTCCCCAATGAAGGTCAGTCCTCCATTGGACTTTCTGATGAGATGTTTTTCTATGGCCTACAAGAAGATTAAGAGAACTTTCAAATACTGTTTCACATTCAAGTTTTACATACTAACTCTCCTTCAAAGAATAAAGTATTGTTTTCAAAACAAAAAGAATTTTCTTCTTTCAAATTCACTTCTGAGCACTACAGGAACAAACAGCTATAAGAATCTAATTTCAATGTACACAAAAAATTACCCTAACTGCTAATCGATGCTAATGAGTTCAAACATAGGAAAATCACGACATAGATAACATTGCATTTTTAGCTGAGAATTCAGCACATATTTTATGGTTCAAACAATGTTTGTCTACCTGTTAACTCTGAGAAGTAGCTATTTGTTCTGCTGTACAGTCTGTGTGTACTCAGAAAAATACATCCATGTTGGAAACTTTTGGTCAGCAACATATGTAAAGGCAGCACCTATACTGTCAGTCTTTAATAGATAGTGATAGGAATGCTCCAGCCACCTTCTAGCTGCTTCTCCATAGCAGCTTTCTGAATGCACATGGTCAAAGATGGGTAAGGGTTAGAGCAGCTGTTCACAAAAAACATTATTATTTTATAGGTGAGGCAACTGCTACTTTTTCTTTGCACATTTGTACCAATATACATTGTTGCTTGTGACTTATAAATGGTATTCTTCTGGTAGCAGGAAGAACAGCTGACCTAACTTTCCAAAGTTTGCAAACTACACAGAACAACACATTTACTTAAGACTCTTTCAGAGAGGTTCACAATCCCCACCAATCTACTGCAGTACTTACTGTCTTCAGCATTAGACAGTTTTTCTTGTAACTAGAATCTCGTTACAGTTTGAGTCCTATAATAATAAAGACAATTATCTTCTTTACCATGGAGACATTATTCCTATCTTCTTTCCAGAAATCTCCTTTGTACGTCCACACATAACCATCTGATGGGTTCACAACTTCCTTCAAAGTGCATGACCTGTAACTGGTCAGAGTACTCCAAGGCTTATTAGAGTTGAAGGATTGAAGTGTCATTAAAAAGGCATTTACTACTCTCCTTGCCATCCACAAGATCTATTACAGAAGTGAATTACTACCCCTCTCCATTACTTTTCTGATACCTACAACAAATTACACCCCAAATGTCCACAACTGTATTTTGCACTAAAACTAGATATACTGAGAACACACAGGCAGAGGATCCTGCATATAATGAAAGCAGTTATCGTGGATGTGGAGGTCACGTCTGCTGCACACAGTTGTCTCCTTGCTATCTACACAGTGCAAACTATGCAGTTCGCTACAATACAGATTCAAGCAATAAATACATAGATTAATCAGCTTGCAACTTCTAATTCAGGTTTAAAACTGGACAGTGAAATAGCTTTTCCCTCTAAATAAAAGTGAGACTGTCTTTTGTTTTCAACAAAATGGACAAATGAAAAGCTTCAAGCTCTTCTGTGACTGTAGTAGGTATTTCAACTTTTTTTTTTTTTAAGCTGATGTGTAAGTGATACAGGACTGTTAAAGCAGCTGTACTGAACACAGCAATATTTGATAACATTGAAGTCCTCCATCCAGGTACTGAAATAACATCTGACAGCTTTCCAAAGTTTTCTTCAACAAAAAACTTTTCTAAAAACAAAATTATTGAAATCACAGTTAGAAAAGGCAGAATTTGTAGGATTAGGAGCCTCATCTGGGGAAGACGATAATATAAACAGTAATCTGAAATAGTTGTGTTTCTGAATATGTATGTGTTTCTGTATGGTTTTCTGAATATGTTCCTGACTTGAGATGCTGCAGTGCTTGCATGCTTGAATGGTTATAGTGATGTGAATCTACACCTCAGCCATGTAGCCAGTGAAGATCTGGCAATCCCCATACGGCCAAGGTGAAGGTACTAGCTAAAAGCCAGTGCAGTGGGTTACAGGGAGAAGACTGCATTATCATTGGTAGGGCCCTGCTCCTTACTTGCACTTGGAGCCATCATTTGGATGGTGAAATTTCTCCACTGCCCTCTATTGAGCCTGTGCGTTCTGAAGGTAATGGAAGAGAAGTGCTGGTCTTCATTCCTGTTGGGTTAATTCCTTCACTAATACTACTGACAGATCAGAAGTTTATCCCTGTGGCACGATCCAGCGAGAAAAATGCAGAAATAACTGACAGAGCAGAAACCAGTAAGTCTCTGACAGCTGCCAGAGTGGTGGTCTAACAATCACGCAAACTGGCATTGAGGACTGGTGTGATACCGTGGCTTCTGCTGCTAGGGAGCCTGATGTGGTTAACCGTACAAGCCTCATTTGTTCTGAAAGTACTGGTATAGGAAAGATTGGATCTGCTGAAAATTCTGCCACTGAAGATGATACTAAGATCTATAGCATTAGCCCTGTTGCTTCAATTATCCTAGACTGTGACAAAACTGATGTCATGATGATTATAGGATTTTTTTGACCATATGGTACATAAAAGTTGAGTTCTTTTTAAAGGAAAGCCATTTTTACTATGAAGAGCAAGAAGGCTTAAAAGGGTTTGGATTATTTATTTCCTGGGGGAAAACATTTGTTTTGCAAATGTTGTGTGAAATTCCCTTTTGAGTTATATCTTTCTGTAATTTCATAACTGTTGAGGAGTAAATGGTTGCAGGAGCATTTCCAGAGTGACAAAATCACTGTGGCTGGCACCAGGAGAGCCAGCAAAGGCCAAATTTATGCACTTCTCCGTGAGCTACTCCCTTTGTCATGATGTATAGGATTTTTTTGACCATATGGTACATAAAAGTTGAGTTCTTTTTAAAGGAAAGCCATATGAAGAGCAAGAAGGCTTAAAAGGGTTTGGATTATTTATTTCCTGGGGGCTGGGGGTTGTTTTGCAAATGTTGTGTGAAATTCCCTTTTGAGTTATATCTTTCTGTAATTTCATAACTGTTGAGGAGTAAATGGTTGCAGGAGCATTTCCAGAGTGACAAAATCACTGTGGCTGGCACCAGGAGAGCCAGCAAAGGCCAAACCCTGTTGCTTCAATTATCCTAGACTGTGACAAAACTGATGTCATGATGATTATAGGATTTTTTTGACCATATGGTACATAAAAGTTGAGTTCTTTTTAAAGGAAAGCCATTTTTACTATGAAGAGCAAGAAGGCTTAAAAGGGTTTGGATTATTTATTTCCTGGGGGAAAACATTTGTTTTGCAAATGTTGTGTGAAATTCCCTTTTGAGTTATATCTTTCTGTAATTTCATAACTGTTGAGGAGTAAATGGTTGCAGGAGCATTTCCAGAGTGACAAAATCACTGTGGCTGGCACCAGGAGAGCCAGCAAAGGCCAAATTTATGCACTTCTCCGTGAGCTACTCCCTTCACTCTAGACTTGCTTTTGGGGTTTGACTGAAGAACGTCATCTAGGTGCAACGTGCCCCTCTTCTGAACAGAGAACACATCTTCTGAACTTGAACATCTCTGTCTTGAATAAGGGATAGTTTTTGAAATCTGAAGATCAAGTTCTGTCAGCTACTTAAGTTACATCTTAAGAGTCACAAAGGAAGCATCCCCAAAAAGAAAATAAATGCAACTCTCTCAAAATACTTCATCATTCAACAACCTACTGCTTGCTAACTGTATAAAAAGGACAATTAATATTTACGGTAATTAACAAGGAACAGCTGGGCATTGCTGGGAGCACTGCCTAGCGGACAAGAAAAGCTCGAGCAGGTTGGGACAGATGTGACATTTGTATCCTGGGCTGGATGCCTGGGGCCTCAGAGCACTCCAATAGGTACTGTAAAGCAATGACACCCAGCTGGACCATGAGTACACATGCACTAGAGTGCACATGTATACTTAAGCTCCTGAAGACAAGACTTAGTTCACATCAACTGAGACATTAAGTGATGGAAGAAGCTTCCTTAGTCTGTGAAATGCCTGAAACAATAGACTGAGATGTGAAAACAGAATGTTCTCTATCTGATGTTCATGCTTTCTGTGATTTTTATGACTACAAAAAATAGCATTTTCTGAGCTGTCTTGCAGCAGTACTTGCTATGTTGTGATAGTCAAACACTGCTGAATCCTTCTTTTAACTATCTAGTGCTGTGCAATGAGAAAGAGCGAGGATCAAATTCGTGAGCCTAACAGATTAGACTACTCAGGGCAACAGATCAAAAGGAAGCTTCCCTATCCTCTGGCCGATGTGAGAAGGAGAAAAGACACTTTAAACCAGACTAGATGGGAGGTCCACATGACGATGTTGAAAGCAAAGTTAAGAGGCCCATCTTCAATATTTATTACCACAAAAAATTCTCAGCAAGTTTCACAATTTCAGCTTTTAACACAGCTGTGAATCTACATACTAGGACATTGAAATGAAGCGTCCTTTACAGTGGAAGACTGCACTAATGTTATATAACACGGAGAGGTCACAGATACAGAACTTGTTCGTACTCTTGTTATGAAGTATGTGGTGACCTGGCTAAGGCTTCATATGCGATGGATTGGAAATCATGACATCTGAAGAACAGATGCTGTCACCTTTCTTCCTCTTAATACCTCCAAGGAATGGGGTATCACTGCCTACTGCAAGACTTGAGAGTGAGGGTATGGTTGTCTATCTTCCACTCTCCTCCTGGAATAAGCTAAGGTAGTGAAGTGTGGCTGGACAGAGACCTTCTTTTAGACTGGTGGGTGCTAAGAACATTTCCAACTCTGCTCTATGAGTGGGAAGAATGTATTTTACACCCTTCCCCTTCTGCTTCCATAAATGATACAAAGAGCTTTTGCTCCAAGTTTTGAAAAACAAAGAGTAAGAAGTGTCAGCTATGGAGGAAGACCTATGTTATGGACATCAACAAAAGAATGGTAAGGGAATGGGCTCTTAAAAATATTTTAGGATTTTAAATAAAAATTCAAATTGAAATTATGTAAACAAATCCTACTCACTAACTCTTTGTCCATGTCTTTCAATGTCAAGTAGGACCTGGGATAAACACAAACCCTGAACCAGAAGGATGTTCCACAATGCATAAATCAGTACGGTTCATGCAGAT